TCGACCAACCCGATCATCCACCACGACCGCATCACCCACAGAGCGAACACACTCATACGAGCGAGGCAGACCCCGCCCCACAGCATCAACCCCCAAACTAACCCAACAACCACAACCAAGACTCGCATCGGCCGTCATGGACGACGAAGAAGACGAAGAAGAAGAACCCACTCCCTCTGTGCCACTCGAGCGCGAGCGCAAGCCTTACAGTGCTAATCCAGGCATCGGGAAAGTCTATGAAGAATCTGGCCACAGTCACAGCCACGCGGGCTCCTTCTCCACGGCCCGACCTTCAGATCCAATCTACAAGGGAAAGGCATCGGAACCACATCCAGCACACCACATGTCCGACCCCTATGATCGCGACCTGCACTACTCACGCTCGGGATCGGGTCACTCTGCTGACAAGCGGTTCTCGCATGACTCCCGCAGCTCGTCCCAGAATGTGGATATTCGTGCTGGTGGCAGTGGTGGCGGTGACTATAGGCATTCAGAGGGTGATTTGCATGGTTGTGATCATGCAGCTAGATATGCAGGGCTATCGGTACATGATTTGTTGTACAGCGAGTCACCTACTGCAAATGGGTCCGAGGATGATGCGCGCGAGTATCATCGCAGTAGCCGGGATAGGGATGAGGACTATTGTCGTGGAAGTGGGCAGGGCGGGGGATCTGGGTCTTCGTATGACAAGTCTGACCGGTATTACCGTTGAGAATGCGGTTGTTCTATGTTATGGTGTCTTTTGTTTTGTTTTGGTTTTTTTCTTTTTTGGTTTTTGGTGATGATTGCATATCAGCGCAATGTTGGCTTTTCGGTCTTGATTTTTGATTCATTTCAAGCTCGGCGTTGCAGGGATACGAAGATACCCCTTCTTTCCGAGGTTGTGCATGACTGACGATATCTCATATCTCATAATTGACGTTCTGTTCTGCTCCGAAATGTGAAATTATAGTTCCATCAATGGTTTTGGAAAGAAAAAGCGCAGCGCACACTCAAGTCGACTCCATCTCACTCTGCATCCCCAAACCCAAATTTCCTCATAACCCTCTCCCCATCCTCTCTAATTTTAATAAGCTCCCTCTCCCTCTCATACTCCTCCTTTTCATATCGACGTACAATAGCTCTGGCATGCCTCTCCTCCCGCTCAATCCTCTTCCTTGCAATCCTCTCCGCACGCCTCCTATCTTCCAACGCACGCTCATCACACCTCTCAGCATCACCACGCAGAGTTTCAATCTCCTTTTCAGTCAGCACCCACGGCACAGACAACACCTCAATTAGAAACCGCAGCCGGGTATCCAAAAACTGCATTTCGGCGTTCGTATCGCGCACGAGCCAGAATCGTTCGAGATGTAACTGCATCTGCCAGCGGAAGGTTGACAGTGTCCCCTTTACACGGACTAGTGTCCCTGGTTGCAGAGCTGAGATGTCTATCTCATCGTGGTCTTTGGAGGTTAAGTGTGTTTCGTGGGTGAGACTGGTGGCTGTTGGCGCTGTGAGGGAGAATGAAGACCATGCTGCCTCTTCTTGGCTATTGGTTTGGGATATTTGGATAGTACTGCTGGGTTCTGGTGAGGTCTGTTTAAGTACTGCAATGTCGATTGTTGCACCGCTGCTGTCGTCTAGTGTTAGGATTGTGCGTCGTGGGATATCAGTTCGCGCCACTATGATGCCTACTAGGCTGACGAATTGGATCGGATGGTTGTTGTAGAAGAAGATGTTTTGTCCTGGAGAGGTTTGTTAGTTATGTGGTTCTTTTGATGAATATGGATAGGCGTGGGTGTGTTTTGGTTTGATGGCAGGGAGATATTTGGTGAAAAGGAAGACAAGTTATATTCGGATCTGTTGGAAGAGCATGCCAGAGGGCATTGGAACAAGGATAGAAAGTTCAGACATAACCACAAGGAAGTATAGACAGTGTGGTGGAACATCTCAAATGGACTTCAAGCTAACGCCTCTTTTCGAGCCTCCACGCTAGAGGACCCGGGAATGTGCACATGCGGCGCTATGCGAGTGGATCTTTAGGGGAAACGTTGAAATGAACGCCGTATTAGAAAAAGCAACAACATACCCACAAAGTCACTTGATTTTCGGAGACGGTGCACATCGGCCGCGCCCATTTTCACCCAGGTAAAGTGCGTTGGTGACGCCTTGAAGCAGAACGCGGGATAGAATACGAGGTTCTCATTGTTGACCTTTGCCATTGGTTCATCTTTTATTTCTCGGAATTATCCTGTTTTGGAGATGTTTAAAAAGATGTCAGAGTTTTGTTCTGGACTGGGAGCTAGAACTGTTGCACGTTGAGTTGGTGTCACGTGGTTGTATTCAAGAAAGGTCGCTATTTCCTTAGGGAAATATATTCTGCGTCTTCATGGTATGGGGATATAGCGTGTATCGCGGTGACTTCGAGATGCTTCAATTGGGGGTTCTCCTGGCTGCCTCTTGACATTCTACGTCAATGTCGCGAGGCGACATTCAACCAGCCCACGATGGCACTGATTTCTACGCCACCTGCAACACAATCTCTATAGATAGATATGCTGATCCCCCTCCATCATCCTCTTCATCGGATTCCTCGGCATCGTCTCCTGCCTCTTTCTCTCCTCAGCACTGACATCATCAATGATAGTCTCTTTCTCCCCCAATGCAGCTCTAACCTCCTCCTGCGCATTCTCATGCCCCGTAAAAGCAACTGTCAAGATCTCCTTCTCCAACCCACCGACATGCTCCCACTCAATGCCCGCCTGAGTTAACATCCGACACCCCTCAGACTCGCCGACGAATTTGTTAGGCTCCTTAACGCCAAAATAAACCTTATGGATCCCCTCTCGCCCACCTTCTGTCGTCTGCGTGATGCGCTGCACACACGGCGCATTCCCAGACAGCCGCTTCCCGCACGGTTCCATTGTCACGTACATGATGAGCTTGCGGCCGGGCTCAATGGGGAGGACTTCCCCCACTTGAGAATCGGGTATCTTGTGCACTGCGGCGTAGTTGGCGAAGCAGCATTGCTCTGCGTGTGTGTTACCTGCTAGCTCCATTGTGTACCCTGTCGAGAGGATCCGGTCGTCTGTGAAGGTGGGATCGTTGTCTTTTCGGGATAGCAGAACTGCGCCGACTCGGAAGTTGGTGGGTCTCGGGGGAGATTGTTCCGCCAGGGCGAGGCATTGTTTTATGTAGGGTATGTGAGGAGAGGTGTTTGTCGTCATGGTGAGTAGTGTCAGTTGCGATTGGGATCGGTGTTCAGTGTGGGAGAGGATGGGTACGGTTGTGGGTTTAAACTCAAAACAAGGCGGTTGAACTGGATACGGATAGTCTCTGTAGCTCTTGAAATTTGAGAAAAGTAAAGTGGCGCTGCCGATGGGCTTGGGGAGCTTGGAAGTGGGTTGACGGGCAAGGCGGGAAGCAGCAGCAAAATGACGAAATGGCCCCGTCGCGTCTAAATCGCGTTCCGTTTCTACAGCCCACGCTCGTGCAGTCGCCACTTCTGTTGGTCTTTCATCTCTTACACCCCAGTTCGGTGTAACGTGTCTAAATTATACTCGGCTCTTTCTTCTAGTCCTCCATCGAATCAAGAACGCACCTATCGTCACCAAAAATTTGCAATGGTGAAGAACGCGAAACGCGAAAGCCATGCCTCAGATGAAGAAATGCCGTCTATCGAGGAAGATCTCTATAAGGTTCTAGGTGTTGCATCTGATGCAACCCCAGAAGCCATCAAAACCGCATACAAAAAGAGCGCTTTGAGAAACCATCCCGGTATGCAACACCACCCAGGTCTGGAGACATCCAAAAACCTAACACTGGACCAGACAAGGTTAGCGAAGAAGCCCGCGCAGACGCCAATGCAAAGTTCCAACGAATCGCACTGGCATACGGCGTTCTTTCCGACGAGCGCCGACGAAATGTGTACGACCGAACCGGCAGCACGGACGAAGCTTTCGGTGAAGATGGTGACTTCAACTGGATGGATTTCTACCGCGAACAGCTGTCAGCGATGCTCGACTCGCGGGCGATCTCAGACTTTCAGAAGAAATACCAGAACTCAGACGAGGAGAGAAAAGACCTGCTTGCTGCGTATGAGACGCACGAGGGCAACATGGATGCCATCTACGATACTGTGATGTTGTCTAATGTTCTAGACGACGATGAACGGTTCCGGGGTATAATTGACCAGGCCATTGCGGATGAGGAAGTGACGGACTTTCAGCAATATTCCAAAGAATCCGAGAAGAAGAAACAGCAGCGTGTGAAGAAGGCGCAGAGAGAGGCGCGGGAGGCGGAGAAGCTAGGCAAGGAGATTGAGGATAAGAAGAAGAAGAAGAAAGCTGGGGCTCCAACGAAGAGCTCAAAGGCTGCGGCAAACGAGGATGATCTTCTGGCTATTATCACTAAGCGCCAGCAGGACCGTGGTGCGGGCTTCCTTGCTCGTTTGGAGGAGAAGTACGCGCAGCCTGGGAAGAAGCGTGGTGTCGATGATGAACCTTCAGAGGAAGCTTTTGCTGCTGTTGGGGCTCGGAGGGGGACAAAGCCTAAATCGAAGAGAGCTAAGGCTTGAATCAAGGTCTTTGTTTCCTCCTGAAGCATTTATGTGTCATGTCCAAGCGTTTATCATGTGGGGTTTAATAAGAGTTTTGTTAATTGCATACGATACCTTTTTATCCTTCTAGCCATCACACTGCTATGAGAAAAAGACATCCAGAAAGACCTTACTCAAAAGTCATGGCAGAAGAATCTGGGCATACAGCCACTCGACGTGGCTACAATAAGAAGCCTCACCTTAAGCGTTTTAAGTCTTCTTTGAAGCTTCCATTTGGTCCTCTCCTTGGTTACAACAGATTGGGCAACAGCCTCTTGCTTCCCCCATTACTGTAATTCCTATAACACTGAGATCACTATATATGGATCCATGGAGTAATTTCCCAAGTTGAGAAATGGACTCGGAATAGGGAGATTTTTTTTTTTAAGCATAGCCTAGAGAATCTTTGTGAAGATCAACTCGTCGGGGGTGCATGAACTAGAATTAGCAACTGTCCTATACCAAGACATGTTCTTAGTCGCCACCTTTGCTTAATTCTGTATCCTACGAGGGGATACCTAACTAACTAGGTAGGTTATTTCAACAGTGATACTCATTTGACCTTGTGTTAGGATTTGGCATTAGCTCACCGCAGTCCCACCATGTTAAAGCGAGAACATTGAATCAACCTTGATCACGTCTGGCTGATAGAGTAGGAAAATGAACTCTTCGAATGAGCTTGAAATCAAATACATTCAACATGGCATGATCGTAATGCGTAATGATGTACAACATAGCGAAGAACATTGCACCGCGGGGCACGACACATGAAGAATCTAGACATGCAGCCACTGTGGCTGGAGGAAGCAGCCTCCCCTTGGGCTCCTTCTCCCAATCGTGGGGTTTTTGTTCTCTTTCCATTCTGTTCTTTTTCTGTTAACCCCAAGTCCAACTAGTGAAGCGATTATGTGAAAACAAGCGGTCAACAAGTGGTCGGAGTTTTAGTCGCCATCGGTACAATAACGGCCTGTATCCCTCGCCTGGCAAGCTGGATGTGCATATGAACGTTGGATAGTTGTTACCAGATAACCCAGATCTTGCAACTAACCGCTTGATGTTGCAGGGGACTGCTCAAATTCCTTGATCAATTTTCCTCGGACGCCCCTTGTCGGCCCCACAAGCCTGACAGCGACGAGTCTGAAGTTCTCCACAGCGGAGGCGGTGTCCACGCCATGTCGTACCACACTGGTCCAATTTCTCCCACGCAACAACTGCAGAGCTTGGATGATCGATCGAAAATATCAACAATAAACGAGAAACCAGGGCTAAGCCGTTCTCTGCAGAAACTGCTGATTGCCCCGCAGTCTAAGAGTACGTGCGGGACAACCTATTCGCCCAAAGGCGGAACCCGCAGCCCAGTCGACCCACTCATTTCCTCACCTTTACGCATCTGTTCTTCAGATATGGCATCTGCCCCAAGCTCGCCAGAGAGGCCCACAGCCGAGTGCGAGGCTTTTCCTCGTAGATCATCTGACCAGGTTGTTGACACTATCCGCTCAACTACGGGTAGCATTGACAATAATGCAAAATCCGATGTCACTTCTACAACTATAGAGCAACCACACGCCAAAAAGCGATTTATGCAGGCTCGAGATAGGTCTCAGAGTCGCAAGAGTGTGGCTGCCATGATGTCTGGCTGTCTCTTCCCGAGAAGCTTTTCCCGTGGCAGAGACAGAGACTCATCACGGGGATCTTCCCAGCGTGGATCATCCCTCGACTCCCACTCTGCTTCTTCACCTGAGCGGGGTCGCCCAGGTTCCTCTAACAGTCATTCTCTTCACGTCAATATTTTAACGCCCACTCCTCTAGGGTCAGGGAAGGGGAAATCGCTCAACATACACGAAATATTCAACAAGTCAGATGACGCTTTGGCCAAACCCCATGGAAGTTTGCCTGATTATATTAAACCGGCAGCCGTGGAGGAGGAAGGGGAGCGACTAGCCAAAGATGTCTTCGATCGCGACAAGAACATGATTGAAAGCAGTGAAGATGAAGCCAACGAGACGTCGAGTGACGAAGACAGCACTCTGGACGGTGTACGAGGCCGCAAGAAAAAAAAGGACTCGGACATTACATCTATAACGCCAAGCGACTTTGTGAAAGCCAAGGCCGAAGATTCCAAGCACTCTGAAGGACGTAGGTTGCCTTCTCGGGACTTCTGTGAAATCGGGCATCCAAAATGCTAATATCACATTGTATAGCAAAATCTTCAGAGCCCCCAGGTGGACGACAGGAGAAGAAACCGCGAAAATCTGCTTTGAAAGCTGTGGTCCATCCACGGACCAGTTTTGACATCCCCACCCCCCGTGTGCAGTCAGTGGCTGGCACACCTTACGGCTCAGAGGATGAAGCCGAGATCGGTGACATCCATCGTGCCCAAAAGCTAAGCATTTCCATGTCAGCTATCGATAACGGTGTTCACAACCGATCCATCCGAACAATTGTCCGCGGAAACTTCTCAAGTCCGCAGGATCAAGGTGATGGGAGCCGTCATCGCCGTCGGAAGTATTTAATCGCAACCGATCTGAGTGAAGAGTCGGTCTATGCCCTCGAGTGGACTATAGGGACGGTTCTCAGAGATGGAGACACAATTTTTGCCATCTATGCCATGCACGAGGACTCCACTACTGCGTCAGCGGTGCAAGTTGGCGAGGGAGCCAAAGTGATGAAAGATGCAACGGCTGTCATTGGCACCCAGACGAAAGAAGCAAATCAGAATTATGGATCCCGTACAATCCTGGGTCTACTTGGCTCCGGGACTGCTAGCAGGACACATTCTGTGGATTCCCGGGCATCGTCAATCGCCGAAGCCGAACGCGTGCGGGCAGTTGAGACTGTGTCTCAGACCTGTGTGAAGCTGCTGCGGAAAACGGTCCTGCAGGTTCGTATTGCCGTAGAAGTGATCCACTGCAAGAACCCAAAGTCGATGATCACCGAAGCTGTTAGTATTTGTTCTGCTCTCAACCTCCCTGTTATCTGATTCATACTTACCATGACTCTCAGATTGATGAACTTGAGCCCACACTGGTTGTTGTGGGTGCCCGAGGTCAGAGTGCACTGAAGGGGTGAGTGATTTGAATTTTTAGTTTGGTATCGTGCTGCAGGAGACAATACTAATTCTTACCGTAGTGTTCTTCTGGGCTCGTTCTCAAACTATCTTCTTTCGAGTTCCTCTGTGCCGGTAATGGTTGCACGCCGAAAGCTCAAAAGGCATACGACGAAAGACAAGCTCAAGGGCACTACAAACGTGCGCCTTTCCAATAATCTAATTACCCCGAAGAGTCTTGCTCAAGCCAAAGTGGACTGATCAGTACACTTTGTTTTGTTGTGTTTTAATTCTCTGGCTTGCCTTGTTCATGGACCGGGTTATGTATGGCGAGGCGCCCATCTTGCGAATGGTGCATATCTAGATTTTACCGGCTCTATTCAATGCGTATGGATACCCTACTTTTCATGGGCCCAATTTTTGACACTATTATGGCTCTCTCTCTCTCTCTCCCTCTCTCTCCTATTTTCACTCCTGGTTTACTCTTAATTCTTGATTCTGGTCTTGGGTAGTACTTTTGCTCGTCGTGGCGCAGTCTAATTCTTACTTGCTTAGAATTGATGTCTTAGATGACCCGAATTAAAGGATGTTGACCTCCGCCTCCACTGGACTTGGTCGAATGTACATTATAGATATATCCCTGGGCTATTGCTTCATAGTCTGAACGTTTAATAGCCATCATAAACGTGCCTCAAGCTTTGACCCAGTCCCAGTTGAGCTCAGTTGGGACAGCCAAGGGCATGGAAATGGTAAACGTCATTGCATTAACCCCACATTCGTTCAGTCTAGGAGCATAAAAGCAGACGAGTTAAATAGGAAACCGGGCTGTTGTCGAGGTGCGGACCAAGATCTCGTCCCCAACATACAAGACTTTAACGTACCTCGTTTATGAAATAGGTGTTTGAAGGCACTCAAGGTGTTGGCGGAAGATTACTTGGAAATCAACAGACAGCCTGTCAACCCTCATCCACAAGCATGTGTACTGCCACCGTTATGCGAGGTAAGGAAGCTCACGAATGGAAAAGGTGCATCCCGAGGAAATGGTTTCGACCGGTATCTCCACTAATTATAGAAGATCCCTTGTCTTCTCAACCGAATGAAATAGCTGCGTCCATAATGAGGCAAGCGACTCTAGCTAAGCCTACGAAGGGTGTTTTCGACGGCCCCGAGGGGAGAAATCTCTATCGCCTTCGCCGCTGTGGGTGTCAATATGGAGAATGCTCGTTTCTTTAAGCGCGACTTTGAGGAGAACGCTACATCTTCCAACCTATGTTGTACACCCTTCAGATCGAGCCTCACAACTCCACGCAGCTATCCACTCACTCTATGGAGTACAAGTGATCTCACTGGATACATCGCCGAGAGTCGGGGGTTCATTGACCGCCAGCTCGACAACCACGGCATCTACCCACCAACGTCCTACCATCCCGGTCCTGTCGAATGAAGGCCGCCCCTGCAAGGACCACTCTGACCTGTCTAACCAGCTGCACGCCAAGTACGCCATTGGCCATGACACCAGTAGGCAATCCACCCTTTTACGTCCTAAAAGCGTCTCCAACCACCCCCAATCAGCCGCTGTGAAAGCCGTCGAGAAGAGGCCCTCTCCTTGAGACAAGCTCTCTCTCTCTCTCTCTCTCTCTCTCTCTCTCTCTCCTTCCTCGAGATGTTCGAGCGCACCTTCGTCACCCCTCCCTGCGAAGCGCGCCAGATCTAGAAATCCCTCGACCTTGTCTGGAACCTGCTCTGCAATTACCCCATGGAAATGCTTAGCCGCGTTGCTTATGCGTATTCTGGACGAGTCCTGCGCCTGCAACACTCGTTAGATGCCTAAGAGGATACTCGCGATCACTCACAGGAGAACCTGGTCGACAAATGAGATGCTGTATGGTGAGAATCCTAGGTCATGGACTGTGTTGAAGTAAACGACGGCCAG